TGCAAGAGTTATTTTGGGGGTATGCAAGTCTGGGACACATGGACAGAGCCTTTCCCACAGTACAACCTGACTCTCTCTGCATGCCCCAATTCCCCTCTCACCCAAGCACTACTCCTCAGTTTGATTTGGCTTCTACTTATTCCACATTGGTGTCAGACTCACCAGCTTGAGAAGGGGCTGTGGAGGGCTGAAAGCACCAGGAGATTACTCCAGATGGAGTCTAAGGGCTTTTGCTTGTCCTGGAGAGTAGGAGTGAAATTGTTTGGGGGTAAGATGGTTACTTCTACTGAGATAAGAACAAACTAACCTTGACTTCCCTTGAAAGTAGCTTGGTAGAGATGTTATTCCTTTTTTTTTTTGAAGAGATTTTTACTTTTATCTTTAGTTTTTATATCACCTGAATTTTCCTCTGTACCTTTATCATTCTCAGAGAGCTACCCTTTCGAACAAAGAATTTTTTTGAAAAAGAAAAGAAATGAGGAAAGAGAAAAAGAAATAGGCAAAACCAATCAATACATAGGAAAAATCTATCTATCTATCTATCTATCTATCTATCTATCTATCTATCTATCTATCTATCTATCTATCTATCTATCTATGTTGCTCCACAATGCAGACCACCCCTCTCCCCTTCCCTGCAAAAGTGGGGGGAGATGGCTTCTGATAAGAACGTCTTTAGCAGGAGGATAGCATGGGGCCATCTATGATCCTTTCCCACTAAAACTCACACCTGGCTGCTTGCTTCCTGCAGTGATCAATCAATTAAGAAACATTAAGCACTTGCCACATGCCAGACACTGGGCTAGGTGCTGGAACTATAAAGATGAAGAAGACCAAGATGAAGGAAGAGGAGGAGAAAGAGAAAGAGAAGGAGGAGAAGAAGAGAAGGAGGAGGAGAATGGTTTCTACTTTCAACTAGCTTAAATTCTTTCAGGGAAGACATGTACATACATAAGTATATCCAGAGTAAGTAGAAAATGAGTTCCAGGTATTTGGGAGGAGGGGCACTCAGGAAAGGCATCCTGCAGAAGGAAGTGCTTGAGCTATATCATGAAGAAAGTGAGAGATTCTGTGAGGCAAAGATGAGAAGGGAGTGCATTACAGTCATGGCAGACGTCCAATGAAAAAGAACAGAGGAGAATTTAGGAGATGGGAAGAATGGTGGTACTCTCAAAAGAAATAGAGAAGTTTGGTAGAAGTGAAACTTTAGGAGGAAAGATAAAAGAGTTCAGTTCCGCACAGTTAAGAATCATTTTCTCCATGGTCATTCTCACCTAGTATCTTCTTGTTTCTGCCAGAAACGATGGAGTTGCAGACTGGTCATAGGGCCATAGCTTTAGGGCTGGAAATGTCTTCAGAGATTATCTAGACCAAACCTGTGATTTCATAGATAGAGAAACTGAGGTCTGGAGAAAATCAGCTGCTCCAGGTAACCCAGAGAGTGAGAAGACTAAGAGAAATGCTTGGGGTTATGGTTCAGAGTTTTAAAGTCATTCTCACATTTTTTTTTCATGTCAACTTCATGAGGACCCTGCGAAATAGGCATCCCCATTTCATAGTTGATGAAAGTGAAGCTCAAAAACATGGGGTGATTTGTCCAAGGTTATGCAGCTAGTAAGTGGTAGAGGTAGGTCAATAACTCATGTCTAGTTCCCTTTCTGCAGGTAATGCATGCAAAAGAAGGTCGCAGATACTAGCTGGCAAAATGTATTGCTTGAAAGTCATTTCATTACCCCACTATTTCAACAGCTCTAGCATTTGCTGGTGCAGAAAGAGTAGTGATTTGAGTGCAGCTGGAGGAATGCAGGACAAAGGTCAGCAGTTCCCTCCTTTCCCACCCCCACTCTCCTCCAAGTCTTTAATTACCTGAGCCTCCAGAATAGTATGCAGCGTCCTAGTAAGAGGTCTTATACCTTAGTGAAGTAGCCTAGTAGTAATTCAGCAGAGAAGCAGCAGATGGCAGTAGCAGCTCAGTGGAGAAGCAGCAGATGACAGCCCAGTGGAGGAAGTGGTCCAGCAGCAGATGACATCAGCAGCTATGCAGAGAAGCAGTGCGTGTTAGCTTCAGAGACAGAGAGGTGATTGAGGTGGAATGCAACCATAGGAATATGAGTTATCTGGGATATGAATGATTCACTTCCAACTATTGATGTGATCATCTGTGGGAAAATGTGCCCCTGTATGAATTGGAGAAAATTTTTTTTCCTTGTTATTTACCAGACTATTCCATTTATTTAAATCTTTTGCTTTGAATTAATGTGTTCTCTAGTCCAGGGGCTCTAAATCTCTCTCTCTCTCTCTCTCTCTCTCTCTCTCTCTCTCTCTCTCTCTCTCTCTCTCTCTCTCTCTCTCTCTCTCTCACCTCTTTGGCAGTCTGATGATGCCCATGGACCTTTTCTCAGAATATTTTTAAATAGTTGAAGGAAATGCTAAATTTCAGTTAGGAATTAATGAAAATTAAGCTATAATCTTTTTCCCATGCAAGTTTATGAAATTTGCCATAGTTCATAGACCTCAGGTTAAGAACTCTTTTTCTAGTCTGATAAAAGGGAAACATTAGATGGGGGCTTATGAACTATGGTTTTGAATAGATTCTTATGCAAAGAATAAGCTTTGTAGGGGGCTATATTAGGAAGGGGCAGGCAGGGATGAGACAATAATATGCCTAATTTTGAGTTTGACTTTTCCCTTTATTCCTTTGGAGGAAAGGAGAATGAGGAGGGAAGCCAAGGCGAGCTGTGTTAATCCATCGTATGCACCAGGAAAGCATAAAATCCAAAGGTTCATAACTAAATCCTAGAACACACAGTGTTTTCTTCCCACAGTTGTTTGTTTTTACCCAGAAGAAGGTGGGAGCAAACTCTCCAGAAAGACTACTGCAAAGGGGAGGAAGGGTCACAAATAATTCAGTAAATAATACAGACAAGAAGACCAAATGTGAACCTTTACTTGTCAGCTGTGGAGGGAAGAACTTCTTAGCCTGCTTTGGTTTTTCAATCATACCTGCCCTTGAGGATAGCAATCAACATCTTCAAATTCCAAGGTCAGCAACATGGGTACACAAATCTGATTGGAAGGAAGAGAGGACAGGAAGGAGGGAGAAAGAGCAGATGCATGTGGAATATCTTGTCTTGAGATAAATGTTGATAGGAGTGTATGTCATCCTTAGGTTTTGTAGACAAAAGAGTGCTTTGCTTTTACTATGTTGGCCATGCTTGGACTTAATTGCTATGTTAACATAGTACTTTTCTCAAGAATTTCAAGATACAAAATAATACAAAGGCTTGACTTTGCTGGAGGAGCTCACTGGAGCACAGAACTTCTCAAACTGTTCTTGGGAATCTTAATGTCGTACACTACCTAATTAGGAGCCACCCCCTTGGTACAGGTTGGCAGGGAAGCCCTTTGACATCCCTTCCTGTCCTGCCAATGCCTCCCCCAAGGAGATGGCACAGCCCAGGGTAAGATATATTCTTCCTTCCCCTCCTTCCCTTTTCCACTTTCTATCAAGTTGAGAGTCATGCATCCCCTTTACCCCCTCAACCAGATCCTTTCTTTGTCCTTTCCACCAAATATAAAAGGACACTCCAGGGAGTCATAGAATTTCAAGTAGGAAGGAACCATCTAGTGTTGAAAACCTTCATTTACAGATGGGATTACTGAGGACCAGAGAAATTAAGTGTCTTCCCAAGTCTCACCTAGGGAGTAAAAGTGGAAGAGGGATCCTGTGAACACAGATTATCTGACTCTCAAACCAGGGCTCTTTCCATTAAGCTGTGAATTAAAAAAAAAATCCTTGGCCAGGCACTCAACTTTTATAACTGCTCTCTGGGAATGCTCAGGAAGGCAGTTGGACATCACCTGCTTGCCTTATTTTAAATCCATGAATTTGTAAAGCTTCTGCACAACATATTTCTGCTGACAGAAACGCAAACTCTCCCACACACACAGTGGGGCCAATTAGGCTTGGCAGGAAAGACGAGGAAACCTTTCTTCATTAAAGTGAAGAAGGGATGAAACCAAGTCCGAAGCAACTTTCTTAGAGTTCCTTCCTCTCTGCTTTATTTGCCCTAGTGACTGGTAATCCTTCCAGCCCTCCCCCACTCCCTTTAAATAGATGTTCTTGATGTAATATTAGCTTCTGTTTACATGGCACTTTATGATTCCCTGAGTACTTTATGGACATTATTTCAGGTATTATTAAAAGTTGGAGAGGTAAAAAAAAAATGAAGTTATGCATCCATTTTTCAGATGTAGAAACTGAGGCACAGGTAGGTTAAGTGATTTCATATGATTAGTAAAAAGCAGAGCCAGAAGTCTTACCCCTGCGGCATGCCCACTTTCTTAAGGCTTATTATCATTGGATTAAAGAAGTCCACTTGACTCAAGATTTTTCCATATTCATTTTTATTTAAAGACTCAGAACACAGTCATCATAGTTCATTTGTAACCATCACTGTCAATGTTTCTTAAATCACACGCTGACACTCGGGTATAACAAAAAAACATTTTCTGAGCTGTGCAAAGTACAAAGGAATTGTTCAGAGTCAGTTAGCCGAGACCATTCTGAGTAGCGCAGACTTGGCATTTTATAAAATGACATTGATGTTTGCCAGAAGAATGCTTTTTGCTTTGCAGGTAGGAAGTGCATGCACATTCTCTACTTTGCATATCTTCCTTTCCTTGCATTCACTTTAGACAGTGGGCTTAGGCTGCAGCTCATCCCTGCTGGAGGTGCAGGATGTCCTTGGCAGCCCAGGACTCCACTCACATCATTTGCTGGTTGGTTATACATTCCAGACTGTGCTGCTGCTCAAAGTGGTATCAGTTTGGCCAACGACGGCAACAACGATGAAAAATTACTCAACAATTAAAACAAACGAACCATTCAGTCAAACCAGAAACAGGGGCTGCAAATAAGGTGTATGTTTTCAATATATCAAACACCAAGACATACCATTACAGATTCTTCAAGGCAAGGTAATCCCCACCCCCCCACCCCCCAAAAGATGACACTTTGCTCCTGTTTTTTGTTGTTGTTTTTGTGGTTTAAATTTTCATTAACTAGGACTGTCACAAATGTGCTCAAAACACTGATGCTGGTTGTGTATTTCCTCCTTCCCCAAATGCTCTGGCTTTGGTCCTATGAGATTAAGATCCTTCTAAAGTTTGCGGTCTGGGACTCTTGGAGGTGAGACTGACTACCAAGAGGTGTGCAAGGGACCAAATTACCTTCTTTTTTCATTTTTTAAAAATGAAGACAGCAATTACCATTCTCCTCCCTCCCTCCTCACCCAATAAAATATCCCATTTGTTGGTGTTGGGAATAATCAACTCTCTTTATTGTTATTTCATGGCTAATTGAGTATTCATTGTGTAAATCATCCAGGTTTCCTTTCTGGCTTGGAGTCTCATGGCCATATTTCAGCTTTTTAGCATCACGTGGGTAGGGGCAGAGACAGAAAATGAAATTCACACCAGATTCTTCCTTTTCTTGTTAGCTGCTCTCCTCATAGGATTTTGAGAAGGGTGAAAGTAAGTTTTTTGAATTATCTGAAAGTATCGATCACTAGAGCTTTCACCAGAGAGTTGCTTGTGTTTATCATTTAGGTGTCTCTATCAATCAATACACATTTTGTATAGTGATATGATTTTTATATACACACATATGCCTTTTTGGCAGTTTTTGCTTGCTAGTCAACTAATTTATCATCCCTGATGGAGATGTGCTGGTTTTGATAAATTCCACAGACAGTGCTCTCTATTTTTAGACCAGCCCCCCCCTTTTTTTAAAGGAACAAATTTCTTAAATCTGCTATCAGCTGGAAAGAGGGAAAGAAGTCCTCTTCCTCCTGACAATAACAGGATCCTTTCGGTGTTGGTTACCACCCAACAGTAATAAATAGCCACTGAACCATCCAAAAATATGAGATCTGAAAATAACAGCTCAGTATTTCAAAGGCACCATGTCTGGCGGGAGGCTGACTGTCTGGAATTTGTTTGTCACATCCACGAAAGCCAAGGAAACCCTACGTTCCCAAGGACAAATTTATGCAGTTCAACCTAAGTCAGAGTGTTTGTTTTTAAGGATGGGGAAACGTATGGATTTTTATCTTTCTATGGATGAAAATGTATCATTTGGGAAATGAGTCTCTTTAGAACAAGACCACCTTCGAGATGTGATCACTCAGGTGGTCTCAAATGGCTGATCTATAATCAGTGCTTCTATGATGTACAGAAAAGCGAATATTTTTTTCATTGATACTGTTCTCTTAAAACCACTTGTTTTAAGACCCAATGCAATCAAAACCTCCTGTCATCTTCCCCTTCTTAAATCCCTTCCCTTACCCTCTGCCCCAGAGTCCTACAGAGCAATACTATTAGAAGTTCTTTTCCCTGTTTGTGACACAAAATGGAATCTACTTGCTCGCCTTTACTGCCCCTTTTAGTCCCTGGTAAATGGAAGTCTGCACCACCTGGTAGAGAATGATATTGTTCATTTTCAATGATATCTTAACCAAACTGTGAATCTGCACAATGTTTGAGAACTGTACATTTTCAAGAGTAAGAACTCACACTTTGAAATTGCTAATTACAGTCACTGACATTTCCCTCTGATGGAATGAGAGGAAAATTCCACCATCTTGGGCCAGTGTGGACCTGCAGTGTTCTTTTTATTGCCACGTAAAAGTCAGTTAAAATGGTTCCCTTCTGCTGGAAATGCTCCCAATTCTTGAATAATTGTCACTGTCTAGACAGAGTATGGGGTTTTAGTAAGGGTTTAAGGAAATTGGCTTTTTTCAAGTCCTCTCCCCCTACCACCCAAATGGATTCTCTCACTTGCTCCAGGAAATGTCAGCCTAGGTTTTGATCTCCAGGACATGGACTTGTTGGTATGCTCCAAAGTTCATATGGTAAATATAAAAACGTCTACATGTTTGATGTCTCTCTCTCTCTCTCTCTCTCTCTCTCTCTCTCTCTCTCTCTCTCCTCAGACATTCTTTTATGCAAAACCAAGTCATTCATAGTTTTACCAAAAGGCAGCACCAGATGTATGAAAAAATAGGAAATGTATGACCTATTAGAAATATATAAAGTCTAATAGCTTTTACATAAAAAGGTATGCCATAAGAAACAAAGGTGATACTGGAGGGTAAAAACAAAAATTTGCTGCATATACTACTGAGAGGAGACACACAGAAAAGGATTCCCCGCCCCCTCCCCCCCCAAAAATCAACCCAAAGCCACATGGAGGATCTCTAGCTTTGGGGAGGCTCTGCCCAGGGCAGTCCTGCAACTTTCCCCCTTCCCCCCTCCAGATGAAAAACACCTCCCCTTCTCTGAGCACCCTTGCTGAAATGATTAGGCAGCAGATTACTGAGGTATATAGAAAGGGTGACGTTAACAATTTGGATTCCCCACTGGATCCTCCAGGGCAATGCCTGAATGGGAATTCTCCCTAAATGTTTCTCCACCCACATCACCTCCTCCCAAAAGAAGCATCAAACCAATGTGGCTTGTTTTCAATGCTTCCTAGCAGCCCTCCCGGACCTCTCAAATCCATCTTGCATAGGCAGGAACCAAGAGCACTACAGCTCCAACAAAATAAGTGACAGCAATAAATCAACTTTCTTCTTATTTTCTTTTTTAAAAGATATTTTCTCTCTAATTTACACAAAGGGAGTTGGCATTTGAGTTGAAATACAATCCAAAGCTGTGTTCTCTCAATTAGTGTCTAGCCCAGGTTCCTTTCCTACCCCTCGGTCCAAGGCATCCCCTGGTTACAGAAACACAGCAGCACAGCCGCAGGCCTTGAGCAGAAAGGCCTTGGAGTGTCTTTGGAAGGGATGGTGACAGTGGAGAACGGTGAAAGCCTCCCTTTGTTTTCTTTTCTTGTGCTATGGAAATTTCCTCTGGAAGGTCTTTTGGTTTGGAGAATGGTGGTGGATGCTAGGGGGAGAAAGGCAGCCAGTCCTCATCAGAAACTTTCAACGAAGCTTCCTGGGAAGAGGCCCGTCCTCCCATTCCTCTGCAGTGTCCCTTTGTACCAGCCATCCTCCCTCTTCTTGTGCACGAACACAATGTCTCCTTCTTTCAGCTCAATCTCAGCCTCACTCTGAGGAGGGTAGGAGACCACCACTCGGTACCTTGGAAATAAAACATCAGAATGGGTGATCTGGGTACAGGGATACAAGAAGAGAACCAGCATGGACCTACTTCATCACTGACAAGAATGTTCTCAAAGGGTCAGTATTTATTAAGAAAGGGAAAAAAAGCACCATGATTAAAATGGAAGGGGTAATGGATTTCACAGCAGAAGACTTGGTTATGAAACCTGGCTTTGCCACTCATTACCTATTTGACCTTGGAAAAAATTATTTCACCTCCCTTGACCTCAGTTTCATCATTTGTGAAATGAGGGTTGGAACAGATGATCTCTATTTTGTTCTTTCGTTCTTTTGAAGCTCTAAATCGAAACCGATGGTCTTGTGACCATTTTTTTAAAAAAAGCCAATTCAATTTATAGTAGAAATCCAGTTCTGGACAGGTGATAGGTCCCACTCTGCTCTACCTTGGTCTGACCACATCTGAGGTATTGCTGTATATCCATTCAGAGGGCCACATTTTAAGAGGTTCATTGGTAAGTTGAAGAGCATCCAGGAAGGCGAGAAGACCCAAAATCATGCATCTGAGGTTGATTAGTCTGGAGAAGAGAATATTTAGGTGGGACATGGTCACTATTCCCAAATATTTGAATGATTGTCATGTTGATGAGGGATTAGACTTTTTCTTTGCCCTACTAAGTCTAGTGGATGGAAGTTACAAGAAGGCAAAGCTATCAAAAAAAATGTACTGGGAAGCCTCACTAGGTAGAAAGTTTCCCATCAGTGGAGGTTTCAAGGGGAGATCAGATGATCATTTTTCAAAGATGTTATAGACAGGATTGATGATTTGGTTGGATCAGACCCGGGGTGTGGAACTTGTGACCTTGAAGCCAAATGTGGCCCTCTAGGTCATCAAGTGTGGCCCTTTGAATTTGTTCAAAGTTTGTTCAAATTTGATTCAGGGCCATAATTGAAGAGGCCACATGTGGCCTCAAGGCTGCAGATTCTCCCCTCCTGGACTGGATAATCTCTTGGGTTCCCTTATAATTCCAAGAAAGGAAGACTTTCATGGATTTCAAGCCTTCCTTGCAGCTCTGAAATTAGACTATTTGACATCTGTCTACTATATCTATCTGTAAGATTGGTCCTTCTTCCCATAAGGATAAGATGCTGCATATCGATAATACTTACAGAAAGTGATTGTTTCATGGGAACTTGGTGAATTATTCTAGTTTGTGTGATGACAGCTAAAGTTTTGAGTCCTATGGTGACACTGATAATAATCATCTCTGACATTTATAGCACTTTACGGTTTGCAAAGAGGCACTTTATGTATAATATCTCATTTGTTCCATACAACAATACTGTGAAGGAGGTGCTATTATTATCCCCATTATACAGAGCAGGAAACTGAGAGAGGTTAATCCAATTAATAAGTGTCTGAGGTAGGACTGGAATCCAGGTATTTCTGACTTGATATTCAGGCTCTTATCACCTCTCACTCTTTCAATAGCCTTCTAACTGGTTTCCCTGCCTCAAGGCTCTTGTCATTTCAATTTATCTTCTCCTCAGCTGTCAAGGTGATTTTTCAAGGGTAGACCACGTCATTCCCTTATTCAATGAGTTCTAGTAGCTCCCTGTTACCTCCAGGACCAAATATAAACTTCTCTGTTAGCAGTTTAAAAATCTTCATAACTCAGCTTCTTCCTACCACACCAGTCTTCTGACAATTTACTCCCCTCCATACTCTCTATGCCATTATTACAATGTTGTTGTTTTTCCAGTCTTTTTCAGTCATGTCATTTTCTCCATGACCCTATTTGGGGTTTTCGTGGCAAAGATGCTGGAGGGGTTTGCTATTTCCATCTCCAGCTCATTTTACAGATGAGGAAACTGAGGCAAACAGGATTCAATGACTTGCCCAGGGTCACACAGCTAGTAAGTGTCTAAGGCCAGATCTGAACTCAGAAAGATGACTCCAGGCCCAGTAGTCTATCCATTGTACCACCTACTTGCGGTTTTTCAAACACAACCCTCCATTTTCCATCTCTGTAAGGTTGTACTGGATCTCTCCAAAGTCTGGCATGCTCCCTTCCCTTCTGCTTCTTGGTTTGCCTGGCTCCCCTGAAGATTCAGCTCAAAGGTTACCTTCTGTGGTAGGGATTTCCTCTCTTTCAATTATTTGTCATTTACTTTGTCTATATTTTGTATGTAACTAGTTAGAAGTTGTCACCCTCATTAGAATGGAAACTCTTTGAGGGTAGGGCCTTGTTTGTTTTGCTTTTTTTTGTATCTCCAGGACATACCACCATGCCTAGCATTTGTTGTTCAGTCACTCAGTTATGTCTGACTATACATGATCCCATGGAAAGTGTATGGGATTTTCTGGTGGTTTGCCATTTCCTTCTCCAGTGAGGAACGGAGGCAAATAGGGGTTAAGTGACTTGCCCAGGGTAACATAGCTAGTAAGTGTCTGAGGCCAAATGTGACCTAAGATCTTCCTGATTCCAGGCCTGGTGCTCTATCTACTTCACCATCTACCTGCCTGCCTGGTACTTAGCAAGAACTTAATAAATGCTCATTGAGTGAAGTCCAAAGCTGGATCTCTTATTCCGGGTTGTCTGTTCAGACTAAATACGGGTAGAGTTGTGAAGATTTGCCTTTTAATAAGCCAGATTAATGCCCTAGGGGAAAGGAGGAGGAATATGAGCCTTCAAACTGACCTGAGGGCAATTTTAGGCAAAAGATCTTTCCAGTTGGTCTGAGTACTCTTGAAAGGCAAGATGTTTCCGACTTAAAAGAATTAATATTAACCAAACAAAGCCTGAGAAACTTTAGTTAGGGCTTAGTTATTAAAGTTTACCCAGCTTGAAAATGATTTTTTATCTATATCTATATATAATACATATATTTTATGTTAATTTCCAATGACCTTAACCTGTTGTGTCATTTCTGAATTTGTATATTTCTTCTCATTTATAAACAAATCCTAGAAAATACCCTCGTGTGGTCATGCTACTGACTTCCCTGGCTTCGTTTAAGTCCAAACTAAAATTCCACTTTTTACAGGAAGCCTTTCCTAACGCCTCTTAGTTCCAATGCTTTCCTTCTGTTAATTATTTCCTATCTATCCTATACATAATTTGCTTTGTATATATATTTTTTCTCCCCCATCAGAATGTTTGTTTCTCGAGGTCAAGGACTGTCTTTTACCTCTTTTTGTATCCCGAGGGCTTAGCACATAGTAGGCACTAAATAAATGCTTATTGATTGATTTATTGTGGTCTGGAGTGTGTCAAGAAAAAGACTAGAAAGGAAATAAGGAAATGAGTCCTGGAACTGGGCACCATGATAGGTGTAAGTGGATAATAAATGGATAGAAAGTGGGAAGGTTGGAGTTCAGTAGATATCTGACCCCTAGAGCTCCATGGGACTCACGGGGCAGAGAAGGTGAATCAACTAATCCATAATCTTTTATTAATGTTGGCAGTGTGCCAGGTCCTGTGCTCAGTGCTAGGGATACAAAAACAAATGTGAAAAGGGTACTCTTCTGAGAAGCTAATTTTCTAGAACTCAACATGTATGGCCACATGTTTATAAAGAATAAATAAAAAAATCAATATGAGGAAATTAAGGGAAGGAGACCTAGTGGTTGGGTGAGGAAGGGTCAAAAAAAAGTTTTATGTAGAAAGTGGTACTTGAGCTGAGCCTTGAATAAAACAAGGATGCTACGAAACTGGTGAGAGTCACATCAAAACTCTCAAGCATGAATCAGACCCTTGTTCTTCGGATGATGTGAAAGCTGGGATTTTCAGTCACTGAACATCAGCTAGTTCTTCACAAAGTTCCAAAATCTACAGGTTTTTACAAAATTCTAAAAACAACTAGAGTGTTTTAACTATCAGGTTATGCTGAATTTTAATAAGAAACATACTGATATTTTAAAATTTTGGTTAATTAGCCTTTCAAGTGCTTGGTAAGTTGTTGTTGTTGTTTAACATTTATACTTTTCAAGTCATAGCAACTTAAAAGTGCACTAAGACTCTTGGGATCCCCTGTTTAAGGAGAACCACTCAATCGATCTGGTTGACTTAGTATGAAGCTCTACTCTTGCATCCTTGCTCCCATTATCTTGTACCCTTTGTTTGGGTTCTTTTGTCCATTGACCTAAAACCCTGATAGCTAACTTCCCTGGACTCTGGACCCTCCTTAAGCCTATTGTTGTTACTCATCCTTCGTTTTTCCAAGAAGGCCAATGACATCACAAGGTGATGTTTTGACTTGTTTATGAAGTGGATTTTAAGCGAATTGCACAAAGTTGTCAGACTCATTCTCTCTTCCAGGGTCACCGATAGCCACTATAGTAAACTGCTTGCTACCTAGAAATTTAGAGAGAGTCCTGAGTGAATTAATAACCATATTAGAGCATTTCTACTGGAAGAACTGGTCAGTTAGGTGGTGAAGTGGATAAAACACTTGGCCTGGAGTCAGGAAAACAATCCAGCCTCAGATACTTACTAGTTGTATCACTCTGGGCAAGTTATTTAAGCCTCTTTGTCTCAGTTTCCTCATCTGTAAAATGAACTGGAGAAGGAAATGGCAAACCACTGCAGTATCTTTTCCAAGAAAACCAAATGGGCTCATGAAGGGTTGGACACAATAGAAAACCAAACAAAAACGGCTGAGCTAGAAGAGCTGCAGCCACATTGTTATCTGCATGAGGCAGCCTAGGGCACCTCTGGTATATAGTCTGAAGCCTTAGCAGGTGTGAGGATTTAGTAGCTGGCTAGTGGATTATGTGAAGATCAATAGCTGCCTTACTCCATGCAAATCCCTGGATTGAAGACAGCTGAACCATCTCCCATTGATTCTGCAAACTGTATTTGTGGAGGAATGGAAGTGATAATTAAACAACTGCTATACCTCAGTTAATGTTTTGGGGATAATCCAGTATTTGCTTAAAATCATCATCTCTCCAGATTGACAATTAAGCTCATGCTGGAGGACCTTATTTTCTAGCATTGTCTTGAATCAGCAGAGCT